TTAACCCCGTCTTTTCTACATTATGGTTCTGATAACCCCTTTTTTAATTTTGGGGAATATTTTTTCGAATTTGCCAGGGTTTTTAAAAGTTGTAAACGTATTTTTGGGGTTTCGGACTTCCACCCTAGTCCCGGGACCCCCTTTTGGTTCGAGTCGGCCAAAATTATATCCCTAAGTCTGTTTTAAAATTCCTTAACCCCAAACTTTCTCTCTATTTTTAGTAATTCAAAAACAAAATCAAAAAGCCTCCCGATTTCCCTTCCCTGTATTGAGCATAAAAACCCCAAATGTAGTTCTTTTTTTTTGATCGCGGGGAAAAGCCTTCGCTAATTCAGTTTTTAGCTGGCCCCAAAAACCGGGGGCTGTATTTTTTCCCCCCAACGAACCAAATATTAATACCAATCTTTAGCCCTTCCCCCGAGAGGGCTTTTTTTTAAATGCACATGAAAGATTCGGGGTTTCGGAACGATATTGTTGTCGATACACTCGATAAACTCGCAAATTCCCCCGCCCGAAAATCATTTTTAAAAATTGTATTTCCAAACCACATTACCCAAACCCCGAATTAAATAAGTTGAAAAAGGGATTGGGGACAAGGGCCCTCCTGTGATGACCAAGGTTCCCTTTCCGGTTCCCAATGGGGAAGCCAGGGTGGGGATTATCAAAAAGATGAGACATAATTTTTTAATACAACTTTTAAAGAAAACTTATAATATTTAAACAACTTGATAAATTTAATTAAAATTTTAGAAATCAAGGGCCCAAAATTTAAAACACATTTAAAATTAGTCAAGCACGCAACTCGATCCTCTATCTCAATTATCCTAAATAATCCTGTTATCTAATTACCCATATTTTAATTTTTACCTTTTTTTAGTTCGGTCCCAGGGGCCTAAAAATATTATCTTTAAAATTTTATATGAAGATTCTTGGGTCCGCAAGGAGCCAATTTTTGATCCTCAAGATTTCACACTAAACTTTGTCCTTTTTATCGATTAAAAATAATTCCCAAAACCAATATCTCTGAGCCGCCGCTATATCTAGGTTTTTCCACGCCTTCCTTTTTTAGTTTTCTCATTTAACTATTCGATCCGTTTCTTTTTCTTTGGTTTTGGGGTTGGGGAAAAATTTTCCATCAATCGTGGCCCAAAAAACATAGGGGGTCAAAGTTAATCAGAAAGACGCAGACGTCACAGAATGGGTTTTTTTTTGTTTACATTCAGAACATTAATATTTTTTTTTATAAAAATTTTTAGCTTTTGACTTCCTTAATAGCCCTTTGGGGCTCCCCCCTAGAGCTATCACGCCCCCCTGGGGAACACCCCCCCAGTTTGGGGGAAAAGCCTTATGTTTTCTAACATCAAAACATTATTGTTACATTTAACACCCCTTTTTATTTAAAAGGTTTTTAAGGGTATGAAATATCTGAGGGCAGTGTGTATTTAATAAGGTCTTTTTATCAAAACAATATTTTTTTATTATAAATTTTTTTAAAAAAATGTTCCTTTTATGTAGTTTTGATTTTTTTATATGTATATAAAAGAAAAGGATAGTAATTAGAAAGCTGTAATATACTTTATAAAATCAGAATATAGAAGAGCAGATAAATAATTAAATATCTAGAAAAATGTAAAATATTCCAGAAATGCGTCTTACTTTTTATTCCTATGATACTTTATACGTAAAATTTTTTCAACAGGTTTCTGTCCTACTTGAGATTTGAGATGCTTTGAAATATAAGTTCAAATGGAATTTAGAAATTATAAAATAATAAAAAAAAAGTTACTTTCTAAAATGTTCACTTGAGATTTATAATTACCCCAACCCAGTTATGAAATATTTAAAAAGTTATATTTATTTATAATGATAATTTTTACTTCTAAAACTATTTGTCTTGAGTTACTCATAAGTATTCTCCAGATATACGTGGTAAGTCATATTTTTAAATAATTTCCGTTGAAATTTACATAATTTAAATTAAAAGCGTGGAAGTAGTAAATAACAAAAAATATTACTTGGGAGTAAAACTGCATGTGAGATAACTCGTGAAATTTAAATGCTGATATTCGAAAGAGATAAAAGAAATCTTACAATTTAAGGTATCCGACTAATTTCGGAACCGTGATTTTGCAAAAGCGCATAAATGGATAATTTTCATGATATTTAGTGTCACTTAGATTAGAATACATGTATAAAATTGTTTTAAGGACATTTTGACAAAAAAATATTTAAATATAATACTTTGGCAAAAAATTAACTTAGAATAATCTTTTTTCAAAATGTTCTCCGTTTCTGAAAAATATTTCTATTATAATAATATTTTACCTGTATATAAATCAGACTTCTCTACAGAGGCTCAACTAGAATTTTTGAAATATATAACTTAGAAATGGGCTTATCCATATTTTACGACAACAGAGAGGAGCAATTTTAAGAAAAAAACGCCAATAATTATTTCAATTGGTGGTAACTTGAAAAAAGCGAATTTTTCAAAAATTCTAGTTGAGCTCTGTGAGATCTGAGCTTATACAGAAAAATTTATTGTAATAGAAGCATTTTTACAAAAGGAGAACATTTTGAAAAAAGATTATTCTAAGTTAATGTTTTGCCAAAATATTGTATTTAAATAATTTTTTATGGTCAAAATGTCCTTTTAAAACAATTGTATGAATTTATTCTAATCTGAGTGACACTAAATATCATGAAAATTCTCCATGTATGCGCTTTTTTAAAATCACTGTCTGAACGTAGTCGGATACCTTAAAAATACCTTCACTGTGTTTTTGTAACATTAGAATAAAATATAATAATAATAATATATTAATTCAGAGTATGCTATATTAAAATTAAAATGGTTCCAAATGGGCTGGATCTATTAAATAACAATATAACCAGAAAAAAAACTAAATAGTATTTTAATAAATCGTCTTTGAACAAAAATATTTGTAAATACATTGCGCTATAAAATATGTAAAGTAAAAGATAAGTAAATAAATTCTTCGCTGAAAACTCAGAAATTTGACAAGTTATATACACACACACACACACACACACACACACACACACACACACACACACAACACATATATATATATATATATATATATATATATTAAAGTTTAATAAATATAACGGTTTGCTTATACATCGTGAATCCTTAAATTAAGTTTGATTTTTTTCTCTATTTTAAGGAACAGAAGATACATATTTCGCCCCTGTGTGTGTTAAATCTCTCTCACTCTCTCTCTGTATGTATATACTTTATATTGGATTATATTAAACGTAATGTTAACATTACTTAAGCCCTTATTTCATTACTATCTAAGATAGGATTAAATGCGCATAGTAATTATAATGAATTCCATAAAATTCCAAGATTGGTTTCCTTCAAAACAAATTAGAAAAAAAAATGTAATCACGTGAAGAGAAAATTTTTCTCAATTTTTTAATGAAATACTGCAAGTTTAATTTCAGAATGAAAACAAACGCCTAACCTAATAAAAATTTTATTTTATCGTATAATTAAAAGGGAATCCTCTATCTACTGAAGTATAAAAGCATATTATTACTTCCCTTTCAGTTAGCAGTAAAATTTGAAAGTATCATAAAATAAATTGATACAAGCTAAATTCTTTTAGCTGGATGGTAATATAACCTTACGTGTGATTATTTTTTAGCGTTAAACGTTTGTAAAAGCTCTGAACTTAGGCATATCAAAAGATACGCTTGATTTTTAAAAATTATAATTTGTTAAGAAGAAATATTTCGTACTAACTTAACTAAGCGGAACATATAATCAACATTTATATATTTTCGATGTTCTGTGTAATTAAGTTTTATAATTAATGAATTAAAAAAATATTACACACATATTTTATTTTTTCATGCACGAAAAATCCTTGATATCTGCTATCATTTCAAAATAAGTAATTAAAATTTTTTTGATTTAATTCATTTTTGAAAAAGGAGGACGATTTATTGAACTTTTCCTTTAGATAAAATTCTAATTAATTGTTATTTGATTTTTGGGGTCTTCAACAACAAAAAGAATCAATTAGAAATTGCATTTTTCTTTTTCGTTTTAAAAATTCATATTTGATACATTCAGAAATGCATCAAAATATATTTTTAATTAAATGATTAGATATTGTTTTAAAGCAACCTCATGTCTTGTTTGAGTATAACAAAATTAGAAATTTCAAATAGTTCATTTAAAAATTTATTTTTGTTTTGAAAATAGGGTTTCATACTCTTCCTCTAAAGGTTAAAAGTCAAAATTTCTTACAGATTTCTGTATGTGTCAGAACTAAAGCAATTAAATTAAATTATTTCATTAGATTGACTTTTTACTTAGATTCAAAACATTTCCAACTGTAAATTTACTGAAAATAAAACTAAAAACAACCTTACAGAAATACGAATTAATAAATTTTAAATGCATTTGATAAATCTGATGAACGAATTTCTGTGTTCAAAATTTTATTTTCATATATATCTATACTTAAACTTACTAAAATATACTAGGACAACGTGTCAATTTCTATACATTGTTTTCATTTTCTTAAAATCTTATGATGTTTTTTAAGAATATTGTTAATTCACATATATGCTTTGAAGCATTAAAATGATTCCCATTTTTATATATTTTTAATCACTTTTACAAGATAAATTTGACCTTCATATTATTTGAGAGAACTAGTATGAAAACTCAATATCCATCTACACTGGAATAAATATCCTACAGATAAATAATACTGCATTTATTGATTAGTGTACTTGATGTATTTGCTTGTATCATGAAATGTCAATTTAACTGTCGCACTTGTATTCCTAAGTTTCAATGTGAAAAATGACTGCAAACATTAGAAAAAGAAGTAAAAACAATAGCCAATGCAACCAACTAAACAATATTTACAGACTTTATTTACAAACATTACGTGTTTTGTTTTCTTAAAGGTTATTTCTAAGATACAACTTTCTGTCATAAAACAATGTTCTGTCGAATATACCTACGTGCATGCACTGAATTTCATCCAATCTCTGAAGTTAAGCATCATCGAACGTGTTCAGTACTTGGTAGGATGAGCGCCAGGGAACTCGGCGATTCCATTATGCTCTCACTGGTGCTGCTGCGTTTTTTATCAGAGGGAAAAATACTTCACATTTAAGGTACCTTACTACTAGCGACAATTTTTTTTAAGACGTGGAGGTATGGGGATTTTGTGTGTGGCTTTTAGCTTTGTTTAGTACATTTTAAGATAAAAATGCTAAAATTAATGAGAGAAAAATAAGTTATTATTACTAAAATGGGAAAAAATAGTAAACATTTTACAAAATATTATATAGACTCGACCCACCCTATACAAAAAGTTTATGAACAAATTCTCAATTTTTCAACTTTGATGTTTTACTTTACTATTCATTTTTGAAATGATCTTCAGGATAACAGATATTTTGATTTCTATAAAAAACTAGAGTGCTTTATCTTAGTTGTTATATGAAATTTCTTTAAAAAAAGAGTGATTATATTCACTAAATGGATTGTAATTTTTTAAATAAAACAGTGATTAATAAACTTGGAAGTTAAATCATTTCTACTATATTATACAGAACCTACACAAACAATTCAGTTAATGATTTTCCAAACTTTTTGAGCAATCACTGTCCCTGTTTTAGCCTTTAACCCGCGATCCCTCGCGCGGGGTGTTCTGTACACCCCAGCAACAACAAAATCCTCCCAGGATTCTAAAAAGAATGCGAAGAACCACAATTTTTTCTGTAGCTGCACATTTTAGGTCATTGAATCTTCAGGCCTAATGCAATCCCTCTTTCTCCAACGATTGGAATGTAATGACCTTTAAAAGTTTATCTGGGGGCTGATAATTCCCGCGAGAAGTTGAGCATTTGTATACAGTCTGCTCTGAATGTTTGGAAAATGATTAAAATATTATTTTTTTACTTTCTCTGATATCATTATCTCATTAATTATAAAGTATATTTATTACTGGTATATACGTTATATATATATATATATACTGGTTTATGAAAAAATATAAAATTATGTGTTTTAAAATGAAAATTTTGTAGGTTTAGTTTAAATTAATGTTAGTCTCATTTGCATGCAATAAATTTAATAATTTTGTTTGTATAATACAAAAAACATCTTGTACTTTATAAATATGTATCATAATGACTTAATTTTATTTTCATAATTAAATACACGTGTTAAAAGTTTGGGGTGTTCTCTACACCCAGCGAGTAACGGTGGTAGCAAAAACAGGCGCGAGTGACCGCGGGTTAATAAAAAAAATGCATTTTAAAGTTGGACATCTTGCTGAAAGTTCTGGCATCTGCTTTTACTAAAGCACTTGTAATTTTTGTTCTAGTGAATGTAAAATAATAAACTTGGTATTTTTATAAAGCTAATAAGAAGGCCTGTAAGATAAAATCAGAGGAAAAAATGACAACTTTTGTTAAAATTCACAATTTTAGGGTAATCGGATACCTTAAAATGCCTTTTCAAAATTAAAAAAAAAATAGATAAATAAAATTTTTAAAAAAAGATGAAAGAGCAACTTATTACTCACCTCTCACTGATTTTATACTGCAGCAAATTTAAAATGCTTCGAAAATTGTTCTGATATTGATGAAATATTAATGGTGTATTTATCAAATACTGACAAGGATTGAGTTAAGTTGTTTTAATTTGAAAAATGCAGAAACCTAATTCATGGGAGGAAACATAGTGCTATTATGTGCTTACTTGCTTCAACTATCACCGATGGAAGGCAATAAAGTGATTCGAGCACAATTACAATAGTAAGACCAGCTTAGCGATAATATAAGATATTCTCTCTTGCAAGATACTTTTATATGAGGACGAAAGTAGATTACTTCTTTTAAAGAAAAAGTAATTCTGTAAACTTGAAAACAAAAATGTAAAATAAATTGTAAATTTAATGAAGAATTCACCTCAAGTAAGTTTGAAAACTGAAATAATATTTAAAATAGTTATATTTAAAAAACTCATATAAAGTTTATTTCTATTAGCTTGATTCGCGTTAAAAAGTATGAAATAAACTAATTATTTGTCTTCTGATCTGTTCAGTCGAAAAAAAGCAGTTTTTCATAATATAATTATATTTATGTTAATTCTTAAGCACCCAATTAAATTTAAACTTAAATTTTGAGAGAAGAAATATGTAATATTGCAAAGCTAATAGTTTTCAAATATTTATACCAACTATTTTTTTATTTGAAAGTTTTAATTACAATTTTATTGGGTGCTTTAGAGTAAAAGCAAAAATATAAATATATTAAGGGTTACGGTAGTTGTTTGAGTGTTGGGGTTAAAAAGTCAAATAATTAAGCTATTTCATGATCTTCAGATCAAATAAAGCTAATAGAAATAGCCTTTAGATTTTTTTCATACTTTATTTCCATCTTTTATATTTAACTTTTATTATTTCCTAGATGTGAAAACTTCCTTAAAATACTTATTAATGAAATGTCATATTATTAATAAGCGATTATGAAGATCGAGATTCCAACTAAGGCTACAAATTTAGTAAAACAAAATTATTACTTGAAATCTTTACTCTATCTTCATTTTACTCACCCCCTTCAAGAATTCACTGAAGGAAAATATTTGTTTTTTCAAGAATCCCTGCAGAATTCTTAATTATAAAGAATTTCACATGCATTATAGAAATAAATTGGTGCTTTTTTTAAATTTGAAGACTATTTCGAAAATAAGGGATCTTTAAAGCATCTAGAATTCTTTATCTCTTTAAGGTTTATAATTACATTTAAGTAAATATATAAACTTTTTGCAGTTTTCATAGTTAAAAGGTAAAAAATTCGAGAAAAATTAGTTCAATTAAACTTATTCCATCATCTTCAATGTGTATACTAACTATTGTAATTAAGACTTTATTAATTAATAATGATAATAACTTATAGAGAGAAATTCTTGAATTCACTTGAAGAAAAAGAACAAAATCCTTAGCACATATTATTGTTTTTACCTGAAATCTTTTATACGCATGCCACCTCGATCCAAATCTATTTCATTGATTTCAGAAATTCACAAAAATTGTGTATGTATATACTATGGTGGCAAAAATTGTGGATAATTGAAAATTCTTACGTTTTTTTAAAAAAATTTATATGCTTACTAGCTGACCCGGCCACGCGTTGCTGCTGCTTAGTTTTAATACGTTGATTCAATATTATTCTCAGCTATTCAATGCAGTCACATTTATTTTGAACTTACAATTTTGGAGAGTTGAATGTGAACATAAGACAACATTTTTTTTTAATTTTGCATTTCATTCATCTCTAATTTGTGTATAGTATAATGCATGAATTATTTACGAAGTTGTTTGTAACAACATATTAAAATATAATTTTATAAATGAGGTTAATAGCGTTGAGTTTTAGCAATTTTTAATATTATTTTTATTTGTCGAAATTATAACAATAAATAATTTTTATATAATCAATCGCTAATTGGTGCAAAATATTTTTGGTAACTTGTCTTTTACTTACGCAAATAGATCGGTGGCTTCTCCACACGTAAGCATATAACATTTATGTACTCATGCGAAAACATGGATTTTCTAAGTCCAAGCCCCAAATTGATATTGCATTGTTTGGCTTTGAAATTTATTTATGGTCAAGGAGAAAGCCTAACGAATTGGGAATCGAAGTCTTTTGAATGGTATTGCATATTCTGGCGGTATCAGTGGAATACGTGGCAACAGGACGATTTCTCCTTTAAACTTTACAATCAAAATGGTTGCTTCCAGATTCCTGGAAATTCTTTTAATGAACAACCGTGTACCGTTACATAATCTAGGTGTATTTAAGTTACGCAGCAGAATAACTAGTGAACCTATCTTCAACCGAAGACTGTGAGGGAGCGCATTCCTAATACATCCAGATAATTCAAAAATATTGCAGTTTCGTTTTCATCAGCAATAGTGTCGATTGATTTAAAAGGCATTGGATCACCTGGCATCACCTCTGTATCTGGAAGTTTATTTCGTCAACATCAACATTTTTTTCTACCCAAGTAACAGGATTACAGAGCCAGCCATTACCTAGATAGTTATACAGTATATCCGGGAGATACTCTCAATCAGTTCCTGTTTTGTGTTTACAACAGTACAGAAATCACCTTGAAATTCGTTACATTATTTGGATGCAGTTTACTTCACTATTTCCAATATCCAGCAGTTAGTTAGAAAGTATTCGCGCAGATTGATTATCTTGCAATTGAACTCACGTGTTTATGGTCAATCGAAATGTTTCAACATTTCGCCATAAAAACGATCGTTTTAAACTTACGTTAATTTCGTGGGGCAAAAGTAGAGCGAGGAATGACTTGGAATGTCTGTCGGAAATCACCAGACATTAATATGACAGCACCACCGAGTATTTTTTAGTTGCCGTTTAAATCCTACAATGTTCTATGTAAAGCTTCAAGTGAGTGTTTACGGGACATATGACACTCTTTGTACATTATGATTCAATTTTTTTGCAATACCGTAGCTATTCCGCTTCTTTTTTAATATTATTCATTGCGTCAGGTTTCCCATGAATGTCTAATGGTAGTTGGAATGCTGAATTTGCATTTTCCCACCATTTAACAAAATGGCAACAATGCCTGAATAAGCAATTGCCAGTGAAATTTTCTGTTGATCATATTTACATAAAGTTGCGCCTGAAAGTTTAGTAGCTGTAGGGGCCACGGTAGCTGAGTGGTATAGGTATCGGATCGTGGCTTGCCTTGTCACAAGTTCGAGCCCAGTACCACTAAAGAACCGCCGTGAAGGGCAGCGATGTACGTTAAATCTGTCGAGAGCTGAAACGTCCTCCCGTTGGTGTGATGTGGAAGTTAGGAGGGGGTGCCAGCTCAAATGTCGTCCACGTAACTTGAGCATGGTTCAAAATTACGTGGGCGGTCACCAAAAGCCCTCGTGTAGCTGAACAGTGCGACGTTAATATTCAATCAATCATTAGTAGCTATAGGGAATAAAAGTGCGGACGCGGGACTCAAACGTATAGTGCTTTGACCTCATTCCGACAATATCCA